TCGCTGAGATTTTACAAGTACATTCTTTCTTTTTGATGTCTCACATCAACTTTGCCCCAAATACTGGGAAACTATTCCATCAAATTTTTGAATTGACTCATTATCGTTTATTTAGTATTGACTTTACAGTTCTAAAAACCACATATTAGTGTAGGCCTTTGATGAGGGAATAATTTAAAAGAAATATTTCATCGCTCAACTCGTATTGTTGATCGTTAGGTAGCGCGTGTCGCTAATTATTTGATTGTGTGTATTTTTGAACTCCATCTATATATTTTCCGGTACGGTGGACTTGTGGATGTTGTAGAATTTTCATAGTTTAAATCACAAACTGATTTTAGCTAGGCTGTCATTGAAAACCTAAGAGCATCGGAATGCTATTTTTTCTAGTGTGGGACTCATAATTAGCGAGCGTCAACGACCTCACATTCAGGAATCGAACCCGGGAACGTTTAGCTTTTAGACCACTGAGCTGGACTCCCAAGTCACTAATGCCTAAATTCAACGCTTATGTATTGCCTGTGGTGGATAACTGTATCATACCAGACATGGTCAAAATCCACTCCTTCATGTTTTTTGTCTTTTAGATAATCCATTCATTCACTTTGTCTTAGAGAGAAAGAGAGAGAGGTATCTTTTGTTACTTCAATTATTCGTGTTTACCACTGTGAATACATAATGTCTATCCCATATTTCTTCACACCATTCAAAACACTTCGCTCAGTTCAGTTGTGAGGGCAGAAAATGACTCTACTGAATATAATGAATTACTATTAACTCGTTTTAATTGTTATGCTTGTTGTAATCCAGAAAATTAATAACACATAAACAAGCAATTAGTGAACATTTATAAAATAAATCGAATCCCTATTATTCTACTTCTATTATCATTGCCCTTTGTCTGTTCAATAAAATAGATTATGGGGTTTATGTTTAAAAAAATAAAAAAATTTGCCTTGTTCACCTAAACAAATGATGTATATAGCAGAGTTTAAGTAGAGGCTGTATAATTTACCCATAACACTACGTTCTTCAGATTACTTGATATTTAGTTTCACCAGCTAATTTGAATGTTTGTGTATAAAGTAAGCGAAAATAAGCTACAGAACAACTATATTTCTTTTTTTTTCAATAATCGTAGGCATAAAATGAAGAAGCCCATCTTGACGTTAGATGTTTTCTGTTCTACATTAAGGCTTAAAAGAATATATGTGAAATAAACTTGACTTTGAAAAACAGTTGAATTAGACTGAGCAAAATAAGCTACGTAAATCAATAATAATTTAAAATAAAAATTTGGGATATCAACTAAAGACATAGGACTTAAGTTGATTAAGAAAATAAATAAAATGTATGATTTATTTATTTATTTGAACAAATTAACAGTGGTACAAAGAAGCACCAAATACATATGCACCACACAATAACAATGAGGTTGTGAAGAGATAGAGAAAGTAGTGTGAGTATAGCAAAAAAGAACAAAAATGAATAGAAATCAGTGAATGAGAGTGAAGTAATAATAACAATAATAATACTAATAATCGTCATTTCATTCTATTTGTGACTGTTCTCTGGGATTGTCTATTGAAGAAGAGTATGCCTGAGAAGTTCATTAACATCTTAAAAGGGTTCTATACACAAACACCACAGGTTGAGTGAGGGCATACAACCACCTTTCTCCATTGTTCCATTCAAGCAGTGGGGTTACACAGGGTTGCCCGATCTCACCATGCTCCATGCTTGTGAAACCTGGCCTCTCCGAGTTGAGGACGTTAGACGACTCTCTGTGTTCGATCATCGCTGTCTCCGAAGGATTGCTGACATCCAGTGGCAACACCATGTCAGTAATGCAGAGGTTCGGCATCGTGTGTTCGGGCACACAGATGATAATTCAATTGGTGTCACCATCTTGAAACATCGACTTCGGTGGCTTGGACATGTTCTACGAATGTCGCCCCAGAGAATTCCACGTCGTGTATTATTTGCCGACTCTGGGACTGGTTGGAAAAAGCGGAGAGGTGGTCAGGGCATGAAATGGTGTCGTGGTATGAAAGAAAGCTGCAAAGGACTGGCTTGTGTCGGTCCTTCACGACTCCCTGGTTGGGGTCCTAGGGATGGTGCAACACAGTGGTTAAAGACGTTATCAGATATGGCTCAGAATAGAAGCCAGTGGCGATCCTGCTGTAACCTTCTCTTACTTTCTTCACAAAAAGTGGTTGTATCTTCCTTAACTGAAAGAATTCTGGTTGTACCTTTCTGTTTCCCCATTATTATTATTACTACACTACCTTATACTAATTTGTGGTCGTTATTGTCCTTTTATCTTTTTTTCTCATACGCACCTTACCTTCTTTTTCGATTCCCATTCTCATTGTTTTGTGTGGCGTATATACATTTGGTGCCCCCTTGTACCAATATTTATGTTTTCAAATAAATAAATAAATAAATAAATAAATAAATAAATAAATAAATAAATAAATAATAATAATAATAGGCGAGGCAGTTCAGTTACCGAAAATGTAACCAGAAAGCATTCTTTCAATTAAAGCAGTTACGTTCATTTTTATGAAGAAAGTAAAAGTTATAGCAGGATCGCCATTGGCTTCTATTCTAAGCCAATATCTGATAACGTCTTTAACCACTGTGTTGCACCATCTCTAGCACCCCAACGAGGGAGTTGTGAAGAACCAGGAGGAGCCAGTCCTATATAGTTTTCTTTCGTACCATGTCATGCACTGACCACCTCCCCACTTTTTCCAACCAGATCCAGTGTCGGCAAATGAAGCATGATATGCAATTCTCTGGGATGGCATTTATAGGATATATCCAAGTCACCGAAGTCAGCTTTTTCAGATGAAAACATCAGTTGAGTCATCGTCCCAGACCCCGAACACATGTTGCTGAAACTCTGCATTATTAACATGGTGTGGCCACTGGATATCAGCAATCTTTCAAAGAAAACGACGATTAAACACAGAGTCGTCCAACATCCTCGACTCGAAGAAGTTATGTTCCACAAGGATATAGCAAAACTGATCTGACTGAGGCGTTGTAGATCGAACCTTTTACAGAATGTCTGTCGAACGCACTTTATATAGAATAGTGGTAAAACTCATCCTTGATCGCATCCGGGCTGAAATCTACCAGAGCGTAGGTAGAGATGGCGAAAAGACAACGTTCCATGGTAGCCGAAGACCAATGGTAGGTTCATACGCCACTTGTTCCATCAAAATCCAGGAGTTCATGTGCACCATTGGTCTGGGATAAAGGTTTTCCAACTCCCTTAGATGGATCTTCCGTACCCTCCAACACAGTTGAAGCGCCGGACATTCGCTTCTCATCCTCTCAAGTTCGTAAACGACACCCACGCCGATAGAAGGCAGTGAGTAGGACTTCAACGGCATTATGTATATATACATGGTCACATTAAAGTATTTCAAGAAGAAGAGCGAACTCTCCCCACCCTCATTCGTACTAGGGTATTTGGGGGTCATTCAGACAAAATTTATAACACAATGGATCAAACACTCAATTTTGCATTATTGTTTTAAGTATTTAACATTTATGGAACTTCTAATACTAATAGTTTTCACTCTAATCTCATAAAGTTTTAGAAGAAACTAAAATATTTCGTGAATCGATTACATTAACTAGAATAAGATTCTTGATATAAAAATTTATTCATTGGCTACACTTTTAAAAACTAATCATAACAGTTCTGAGATGAAACAATAAATACACCAACCTAAAAATAACATAACTTAGGCTATGTTGCACGAATTTCGATAACGTTATAACTATATAGTTAAGGGGTTTCAACCCACAAACCCATAGATGAAAGTTGAAGGCTTGGATACCTGAATAATTAGTTCCACATAAATTATGTTGATCTCGATCATAAATCATTAAGTATTCACTAGTACAAAACTAATGCTTTAATGTTTCCACTAGTGATTGACATTAAATGAACGGTAATGAAAAGGGAATGTATTCCCAAGATAATTAAAGTATCATGTGGTTTAATCACACGCTGTAATCGAAGGAAATACAATAATAAAATGAAGCGCATGTTGATTAAATATAGAGGAAAGAAAACATTTGGTAGCAAAGTAGAAGAAATAAATAGTTATTTATACTTTGCGAATGAAAACAAACTCCAGTTTTATGTCAAGAAGTTTAATTCTACTTATTAATCTAAGTAGCCAGATTAACAAAACATTTATCATTAAATTGATTAAAGAGAGATAATTTACTTTAAAGCTTTATGGTGAAAACCACAATTATAATTAAAGTGAACTGGGTAAAGTGAGGAGATAGTTTCTTAATGACAAGTATATGATCTAATATATAAGCATAAGAGGCCAAGTGTTATTTAAATTTATAAGTAGACAACCTATACTAGCTAAGAGGTCAAAACAGATGTAAATAAAATCAAGCCTACAGTTAGATGATTGAAGACTAGATATGAAAAACAAAAGTTATTGCGCTGACAAGACACGAGAGATTAATAATGCTTAATAAGTCTGTATAATTAGTCGTTGAGATAATTTTTTGGTTCGGCTAAATAAAAAAAAAACAACGAACGCAACAGAAACGCTCTATAAAGTTTAATAAATAAGTGAAACTAAACATCACATACAGATTCATATGCTAAAAATTCTAAATACAACAGGTCAATGAGGGGTAGCTTAGCGGTTATGAAGCACTAGACTTTCAGCCACTAAATCGCAAATTCGAATAACTTTCCATCTACTTCGGTTCGGGCAATCGGATATAATCACTAGTCTTCACACCTAATATGACTTACAAACAAGTACAAGAATTTGTATATGGCAAATTCGTTAATATTAAAAAAACAATAATAAATACTACTTATTTAGAACGAAGGTAGAATAAGTGATATGTCAACAACTTTTTGGTTCAAAGTTATATATCTGAACAACTTTAAACTCTCATCTACACCAATCCCGAATAAAATAAACTATAATTCAAGAACCCACCTGGATGTAGAAAACCATCGGAATCAGGAACATTTGTAGAAAAGCGATTACTCTCACTATTACACATTCGTTTCCTTTGACTATAACTACATCGTTTTTTAAAACGTGAATACTTTGAAAGTGAATGTGAGTAATTCTTAAAGACTTGAGAATTTGATAAATATCTATTATATAAAAAGTGATGATCAAGAGAATTTTCTAAATGTTTTTCTGGCATTGGTGAGAAAATTTGCGCATATGATTCAGAACATGTCATAACTGATTGTTCTAACCCTGAATCCAAATTTGATGAATGATGATTACAAATATCACTTGGGATTTTTAAATTAGAATAATGAGAATTATCAAGTGTTCCATGTGAACTGAACAAATAATCAGAAACACCACGGATAGGACAGTAATCATTTGGATGAGTAGATGATTGTGTCATTCTACCATGAGATGACCAATAATCATCATCTGTCCCTTTATATTCATTATCATCACTGCCATTTTCATCTAAATCAACATCACCATCATCATTTAGTAAAGCTTCTGCTTCGACATCACTTAAACCAAACTCAGAACAACAATCAGATGTGTTTGACGAAAAATTATTCTCTAAATTATCTCTTAAATACCACATATAATCTAAATTATCTTCAGCTTGATCCAATTGAATTTGATTAGCTTGTAGTTTATACAATAAACGATCAAGTGTAACACCTAGTTTGTTTAACTCATCTGTGAGTACAACAGTTTTTTGTGTAAGATCAGTGAATTTTATTGCATCGGAATTACTACTCGGTAATAAATTATTAGGATTTTTATTAATTCCCGGTGACGATGACGGTGATGAGAATGATATTAATACGTCATCAGGTGCATTTGCAATATATGTACTTTTGTTCAAATCTGATGAAATTTCACTCGATTGACCTTGAAAGAAATTATCAGACTTATTGTTAAGAAGAGAAGATAATGTGTCGAGTTGTCGAAGAATATTGTCGTCCATATCTTCATTGTTCTCATCAATGAGATCATTACCGTCGTCTTCATCATTGTTATCGCCATGAATATGTTTTATAGTCATTTGATTTTTGTTAATGTTTCTTATTGCTTCATCTTTAGTTGCATAGATAGAAATAATATCATCGTACTCAAAACCTTCATTATCATCAATATTTAAACATGACAAAGAAGTAGATGAATTTGAACTGGAATGAAAACGTGAACGATGATATATAGGTGGATTGGTAGTAGTCCGAGTAGTATAATCATTTTCCTTCTCTAAATATTTACAAGATTTACTTATTTTTCTATCTAACACAGCATCACTATGTACACGATGAATTAAAAATCGTGATGATGATTTTCTAACTGGTGAGTTGTCTAACCAATCAACTTGTTTAGGATTAAGGATTTCGATAACTTTTGACAATAACTGATCTGTAGATATAGTGGTAATTGAATCTACTATAGAGTCTTTATCAGATGATTTAATATTCATAGAAGTTTGATCAGTGCTCTCATTTTTCATACTTGGAAATAATACGTTATCAATAGATGTGGAAAGAGATTTTACATTGTTATTTTGTTGATTATCACATAAACTGGTTTTCTTGAAATTTATGTCGAATGAGCTCATTAATTTTGATTGAAGCAAGTAATTGGATTGATCTGATTTTGAAAGATTGAACTCTATCTTACTATACTCTAAGAGTGGACAGTTAGAAATCGGGGTCATATTGACAGTGGATGTTACTAAAGATGTATGAGCTGTAATAGACTCACTATCTGTAAGAAAATCATGAGAAAATAATTTTACGATAATTTAGACAGATATTATGATTGATAGAAATGAATACTAGTAAAAAGGTGGAAAAGTGTAATTCTGTATAAGTGGACCATGGGTTTAAAATGACTACATCTAGTTCACTTCTACATTTTGTATAGTCTTAGGTCATTAGACAAAACGTACAATCGATTAATTTGTACATGAAATGGGATGAAGATTTCCGTCAGCATTAAATAAATATACTAATCCAAGTTTAGAACCAGTTAGTATAACAAGGTGTTAATAACGAAAGATATCTCAAGACCTAACATAGCTTTTATATATCCCTTGTACCGTCCAGCTACCATGAGATTGGATTGACTTAACATATGAACAAAATATTGGTAAAGAACTGCTTGAATTGATTGATAAGCTCACCAGAATATAAAGACTAAACACATCACTTGAATGATTTGCAAAACTTTATTATGCGATCTGAAGGCTAGTATTTACATCAGCATTGCTCTTATCAATTTTTTAAACGGGACAATATAATGATAGAGTTCATTTTATACATGTTTAAGCACAAAAAGCTGTTCATACAAATAAGAGGATATTTTTACGCAATTTCTAAATCGATGAATGAAGTTAGTCCAGTATTTCAACTTTCGAAATGTAGAAAGTACAACAAATCAGAAGGTAAATAATGTATTTAACCAATCCTATAGAAAATGGTCCAAAAATAATTAGTCAGACAAATAAGTGCTTTAATTGTAGACAAGATTAACTCAGTTGACCCTTCCCACCAACCAATGTCATGGAAAGATAATTCTTTCATCACTGAACATTAATAAAATCAGTATGATGACTTCAAAAATGATTAAGATGCAGAAAATATATTGTGTTAGCTGCAAAGATAGTATCGAAACGCTTGAGATAAAGCTTCAACACTCCTCTGAAGAAAAAAGTTATAGAGTATATCAATATGGTATTTAATTCCCTACTTACAAGAACCTGAAAGCAAGTATACGTCAGTTTTTTTATCAGCGGTTTGCTTTATTTAACGGTGTCACTGATTGACTATATCACACTGAGGAAAGGAATACCTAAACTTCCGTAAATTTTGTGAAATTGAGTGATGAGTATTAACTTTCATTCACTATCATTATGTTGTGTAATAACTTTTACGGTTTGCCGTCTGGCGTACTAAATCAAAGCGAGTAAAACATATCGCTTCTTACTTTAGATTTAGAAAAATATGAGAAATTAGTTAAAACACTACAATTTTAGTTATTAAAGTTCAATTTATATTGATAATTTAATCTAAAAATTAACAGTTCAGCAAGTTAACTGTTATCACTCCCACAGAATCAATTAATTCTTATTTACCTACATATAACTAACAATGGATGACAGTGTTCAAATAATCTAAATAAGGTCAACAAACAATATGTATTCTTCCCCTTAAAATAGTTGTTTCCATCATGTAAGGGATTAAGCACATCAGATGGAATAGTTTCATATTATTATCAAAAATATACAATGACAAACAGTTCACGGATGATCATTCAGCTATATAAAACAAATTATATAACACTACAAATAAATAAAGTATAATAATCATTTCTAAATGATTGCGTAGACAACTGTCTACGCGAAATACTTCGGATCCGTTGGCCGAACACTATTAGCAACAACCAACTGTGGAAGAGAACAAACCAGATCCCAGTGGATCAGACCTCTAAGTCAAGAGACTTGGAAGTTGCCTCCTGAGAAAACTACCAGCCTCGGTTTGGGTACCCAGGCAGAACACCAGGCTATTCACAAGTGTGACAACTAATAATTATAGAGAAACCGTTCTTCATACCTACTCAAACGATGCTTGTAATCACATTATGATAAATAAATTTATTTTACTTTAATTCAAGTTGTTCCATTCTGTGTACATCTTCATTTTTCACTTAGCGACCAGTTTCTGTAGAAAGTTCTGTTCTGCTTAAAAGGTTTTAGATAAAGATCGGACAACAGATAAGTTTAGTTGTCCATGGAAAGTCACAATATTGGTGATGTTAAATACACATGACGCGCATTCGAGATTTTATTGAAGTATTAAAACTTCGTTCTCCATCTGTTGATTTGAAATGCTTGTTCCATGTATGTTTATTTCCGTACAATGTAGTATCTTCGTTCAGCTTGACTTGCGTTGATGCTACAGAAAAGGCACTCTATTTGTTGAATCCTCAATAATAATCGTTAGTGTCCAATTAAATCAGAAGGGTCTGTTGAAGTGAGAAATAAAAGAAAGGCCGCTCGAGAGATGCAGCATTAGCCAGAGGTTTGAATGCATAAGTCTGGCGTCTTTGAAAAGAGGGAAGTCACTTACGTGCCCAAACAGGTTCGATGGTCTCAGATCAAATAGCAGTAATCGTCTTTTGTAACTGTGCAGACCACAATCTGCTCCTGGCCACTACCAAATCCTAATGAACTTATCACCTATATACTAATTGGCCTTCTTCATCTACAACACCAGGCAAAATTTCAGATTGATCACATCATGATCAGCTATCGCTAATGTAGATATGCACAAGACTGCTTCTCCTTTTGAAACACTTATCTGGACTCTGATAATTACCTATTTTGCCCCAAGCTTATCTTGCATTTGCGGCTAATAGACGCTGTTGTATCGGAAGATTAAACTATTGGTAACTTCCAGAAACTATTTATAGACTGTTATATATATATTCTTAACTCCGCCTGTAGCTCTCATAGGGTTACTGCCGGTCCCAAGCCCGGGTAAAGGAGGAGGGTTGGGCATGGGATTAGCGTCCCCATCCCGTAGAAAACTAACTCGCTAAAAAAACGCTTACCAGAAAAAATAATCCAAACCATTTAAACTCTGCCCTGGGAGTTAGAAGGTCTTCATTTAGAAGAATTATGACGCTTCATGGTGAAAGCCGAGTTCCTTCGGAAGCCACGAGGCCGATGCCCCTTCTAACAACCAGAGCAAAAATTTTTATAGGTACATGGAACGTTCGAACAATGTGGGAAACCGGGAAGACCAGTCAAATAGCAATGGAAATGAGGAGATACAACTTAGCAGTACTGGGAATCAGCGAAACCCACTGGACCCAAGCTGGACAGAAAAGGCTAGCTACGGGAGAGATGCTGCTATACTCCGGTCACGAAGAGGACAATGCTCCACACACTCAGGGAGTCGCTCTTATGCTGTCCAAAGTAGCACGAAATGCACTTGTAGGATGGGAATCTCACGGATCCAGAATCATCAAAGCATCATTCAAAACAAAGAAGGAGGGGATCTTAATGAATATTATCCAATGTTATGCACCCACAAATGATAGCAACGACGACATTAAAGATCAGTTCTACGAGCGGCTGCAGTCAGTCATTGAGAAATGCCCAAGAAAGGACCTAACTATTCTGATGGGAGATCTAAATGCCAAAGTCGGAATAGACAACACTGGATATGAAGATATTATGGGACGACATGGACTGGGAGAAAGAAACGAAAATGGAGAAAGATTTGCAAATCTATGTGCATTCAACAAATTGGTCATAGGAAACACAATATTTCCACACAAGCGTATACACAAGGCTACATGGATCTCACCGGACCACACTACAGAGAACCAAATAGATCATATTTGCATCAACAAAAAATTCAGTAGGACAATGGAAGATGTGAGAACCAGGAGAGGTGCTGATGTAGCTTCAGATCACCACCTAGTTGTGGCCAATTTAAAACTGAAGCTAAAAAAGAACTGGACAAGTGGACAAACAGCAATACAAAGGTTCAATACAGCCTTCCTTCGAGATACTGACAAACTCAATGAATTCAAGATAACTCTCAACAACAGGTTCCAAGCCTTACAAGATCTACTGAAAGAAGAAGAAACTAGTATGGAGAACAACTGGAAAGGCATCAAGGAAGCATTAACTTCAACGTGTCAAGAGGTTCTGGGCCTAAAGAAACACCATCATAAGGAGTGGATCTCTACAGTAACACTGGACAAGATCAAAGAAAGGAAGAACAAGAAGGCAGCAATAAACAACAGCCGAACACGAGCAGAGAAAATCCAAGCACAAGCTGAATACATAGAAGCAAACAAACAAGTGAAGAGGAGTATTAGAGCCGACAAGAAGAAATACGTGGAAGAACTAGCAACGACAGCAGAAAAAGCTGCTAGAGAAGGAAATATGAAACAGCTTTACGATACAACGAAGAAACTAGCAGGGAAATACAGTAAACCAGAGAGACTGGTCAAAGACAAACAAGGCAAGCCAATCACCGAAATCCAACAACAGCGGAACAGATGGGTAGAATACTTCGAGGAACTCCTGAATAGGCCGGCTCCAATGAATCCACCGGACATCGAAGCGGCACACACGGATCTTCCCATAGACGTCGACCCACCAACGAAGGAAGAAATCAGAATGGCCGTCAGACAAATCAAGAACGGGAAAGCAGCGGGTCCGGACAACATACCAGCTGAAGCACTGAAGTCAGACATCGAAGCAACTACAAACATGCTTCACCTTCTATTCAAAAAGATTTGGGAAGAGGAACAAGTGCCGATGGACTGGCAAGAAGGGCACCTCGTCAAGATTCCAAAGAAAGGAGATCTGAGCAAATGTGAAAACTATAGAGGCATTACACTGCTGTCAATACCAGGGAAGGTCTTCAACAGAGTGTTGCTGGACCGGATGAAAGAGGCAGTAGACGCCCAACTTCGAGATCAACAAGCTGGATTCCATAAAGATCGGTTATGCACAGACCAAATTGCAACACTACGGATCATCGTCGAACAATCAGTTGAGTGGAACTCATCACTATACATCAACTTCATTTATTATGAAAAAGCATTCGACAGTGTAGATAGGAGAATGTTATGGAAACTTCTTAGACACTACGGAGTTCCTGAGAAGATTGTCAACATTATCCGGAACTCATACGACGGACTACAGTGTAAAGTCGTGCATGGAGGACAGCTGACAGATGCGT